GTGTCACTGGCCCTCATATGTGGGATCCGAACCGGGGCCCTCTGGCGTCCCAAGCCAGTTCTTAACCATCGCGCCACTCGGCCGGCCCTCAACCATTATGTTTTCATATCCATCCAAGTTGTGTGTGACTAATAGCTTTATTTTTGTTGCTGTATAGGTTTTAATTCTATGAACACACCACAGTATATGTCCATTTCATCATTGATGTGAGTCCCTTCCAATTTTGGGCTCTTAGAAATAATGTGAACATTCTTATGCATAGACATGGTACATATAAGCATACATTTCTATAATACAGATTTCTGACAGTGGATTGTTGGGTTTTTAGGGAATATGTATCTTCCACGATAATTTCTAAAGCATCAAGCTTTTTTTGCACAGTTATGGTACCAATTTATACTCCCACCAACAGTTCACGAGGGTTCCCTTTTCTCCACGTCCTCACCAGTACTTGTTGATTTTCTGATACTAGCCATTCTGAGAGGTGTGAAGTGATAATCTCATTGTAGTTTTGATTTGCATTTCACTAATGAATTGTGATGTTGAGCATCTTTTCATGTACCTGTTGGCTATTTGAATATCTTGGGGAAAAGTATTTAAGTCCTTTGCCTATTTTTAAATTGGATTATGTGTGTTTTTGGTATTGAGTTGGATGAATTCTTTATATATTTTGGATTTTAACCCCATATATGATTTGTAAATATTTCTTCCCATTCCATAGTTAACGTAATTGAGTTTTTAAGTGTATTTTATGTTTTTTATATGTCTCATCTGTTCTTTGATTCTTTATTTCTCTTTTATATGTTCTTTTGCAGTAGTTATTTTTTTATTATTCCAGTGTTTTCTCTTCTGTTAGCTTTTTAGTTATGCATTCTTTCAGTTTTCTGTTTAGTGGTGTTTTCACCATAATTTAGAAAGATACCTTAACTAGATAAATGGGAAGAGTTTTGATACTCCCTCATTTTTTTTTAAAGATTTTATTGGGGAATTGGGGGAGAGGAACAGCGTTGGGGAATCGGGGAAGGGGAACAGACAAGTTGCTGTCCTTTTGTTCTTCAGTCTACTTGTGGAGGACGTCGCTTCACTGGCCCATGTTGGTATTATCATTGCGCTCTTCCCACCTGAGGCAATCGCTCGCTGGCCCTTGGACGGCCACTCACAGCAGCTCACGTTGGCTGCTGGCCACTCACGGTAGCTTACAGCAGCCCACTGCAGCCCCACTGCAGCTTATGCTGTCACTGGCTGCTCACAGCAACTCAGCTCCAGGTCGAGCTGTTGTTCACCATCTTAGCTGTAGAGGGCGCAGTGTCTCTGGCCCTCATGTGGGATCCAAATCGGGGCCCTGCTGCTCAGAGCTGGTGCTCACAAGCCAGCTCTTAACCAATGTGCCACTCAGCCGGCCCTGTACTCCTTCATTCTTAATGGTTTTTTTCCCCCCTTCTCTTTCAGACCCTTTGAAACAGATAATTACCATGTTTAGGTATTAGCAAGCACATATGTGTATGTCTGCATTTGAAAATGGCAGAGGGAAATAACAACAAGGAGGTAATTCACTTCAACTTTCGCTGCCACCAGGGACAAGGTAAGTGTTTTTCTTATTTTCCGCCTTTCATTGTTGCTTTTTCTCTTAAGACTACAGTTACTGTTTTGAAATGAACCTGTTTTGTACCATGTGGAACCCAGAGACACTTCATTTTTAGATCTAAAACATGAGGTGTAAATGGACTCATCAGACTAGAATTTTGCGTCACATGTTGATACCTGCTAGCATGAATGAAGTTTAAGAATTTTTTATCATATGAAATATAATCAACAGTGTTGTAAAGATTATGTGAGGTGCCAGACTGGCACTGGACTTATCAAGGGGATCACTTCATAGACTGTGTAAATGCATGACCAATGCACTGTATACACCTGAAGCTAAAGTAGAATAATATTGTACGTCAACTATATTTAAACATATAGACGAGTACATATGTATTCACGGGATGTGGAGTATAGCATAAGGAAGATAGTGAATGGTATTGTAACAACTATATACGATGTCAGGGGGGTAGGGTAGTAGCTTGGGAGGGGGGGGTTATCCCTTTGTGAGGGGTGTAAATGTATTACGTTGCTTTGTATACTTGAAACTAATGAAAATAATTTTCCATCATTAGTAGATTAATAAACTTAATTAGCAGGCTAAAATGAGCTGTGAATGTGCAATCACAGGATCTTAAAGAGGTGGAAGTATGACAACAGTGGCATTTCTCTGTTTTTGAAGGAGTGGTGATTGCAAAGGAATACTCCTCCAGGCCTGTGTGATCTAAAAATGCTAAGGGCAGTGCTAAAGCATTTTTGGTCCTCATACGATGCTTAATTTCTTTTTTTGCCAGAAAAGTTTGGTTTAGCCTTACAGGGAATTTTAGGATGTGTATTCTTTCATTTTTTCAGTGTTGTAAATTTGGGGAAATTCATTGATTCTTAAAGAAAAGAGATCCTGCATTTCTGTGACGACTTTGCAAAATTGATATGAAATTTCCTGTGAAATCCTAATTCACATTTATACATCGGTTAAAAGGAAAAATTTCATGCTGATGAGTAGGAAAAGATATTTTTTAAGTAGAAATTACATGAAGAAGAGGTCGTACCAGTTTTTTTTCCCCGTGATATTTTTTGTGCTTATGAAGATGATTTTTTTTTTTTCAACAGAGGGTAAATTAGATAGATTTGGCTTTTGGAAAAAATGAGCACATTTTGTTAAGCAAATAAATTGAGAAAAATAAAATTGCTTAAAACTGCAAATTATGAACACTACAAAAGAAATACTGATTTTTTTTTTTCTTTTTAGGATTTTATTACTAGTGTGTTTTAACTTGGTAGTTACCAAAGTTATTGTACCCAATGTATTCACCAAAATTGACCATATTTTGAACCACAAAACAAGTTTAAAGTTTCAGAGGATTGAAATCATACAGAGTGTTCTATAACCTCATTGAAATTAAGTCATAAGTCAATTAAGAAATATAATTAGAAAATCTCTATACGTGTGGAAAATAAGAATAAATTTCAGAGTAACCCGTTTCTAAAAAGCAATTACAATGAAAATTGGAAAATATTTTGAATTACATGATAATGAAAATAAAACCTATGAGAGCTTGTGAGATGCATCTAATGTCATGTTTTAAAGAAAACATTTATGCATGAGAAAACCAAAACTGTCAAGAAAACTGCATATATTAGATAAGAAGTAAACCTTGGATCTTAATAATCTAAACCAGAGCTCAGCAAACTAAAAAAGTCGGATTGTCACTATTCTAGTTTTGCAGGTCTCTGTTGGAATTAGTCACCTATACTATTGTAGCGTGAAAGTAGCTATAGATAAACATATAAATGAATGAGCACATCTGTGTTCCTAGAAGGACATAAAGTAACAAGAACTATTATACACTGCTGGTGGGAGTATAAATTGGCACAATTTGGCAACTTGTTTGGCACCGTCTACTAAAATTAAACATATGCTTTCCCTATGACTCAGCACTTCCTCCACTCCTAGAAGGTACTCAACTGAAATGAGTATACCAAGAATGTTCATAACAGCATTATCCAAAATAGCCAACACTGGAACCAATCCAAATGCCCATCAACAGAAGAATAAATACTTTATGATATAGTCATGTAATGGATTGTATCCAGCAAAGAGAACTGTGACGTGCAGCAACATGAATATATCTCAGATATGTTATTTGCAAGAAAGCCAGAAACAAAAGAATGTATACTCAAAAACAAACAAAACTAATCCACAGAGTTAAGAGGCTACTAATGTCTTAGAAATGTTATATTTACTCATCTTAGTGATCATGGCCACATAGGTATGGATCTTTTGTATTACTTCATGGGGTTTTATATACACTTGATTCATAAACTTTGCACTGTTATACTTTTAATTTTTTTAAGTATATTTTTAGAAGCTAATGTGTTTATATATGGTGTGTTGGGGAGTATCTTGTCAACCAATGTGCTTCACTGTAAGATGATTTTTTTCATTGGGACCCAATTTTTTCATTGGGTCCCCAATGTTGTTTTCTGTAAATGTCCTTTTTCTTGGGCTAATTCTTTCAGAGAGGGAGTTACAGTTTCCTGAATATGGAATCTAAGACTGTCTGCCAGCATTCAGGGAATCAAGCAGCAGAAGGAAGCCGGGGTCTTACTCATTATGCTATTTCAGTGGTACCCCTTTCCTCTCTGGACCCTGTGCCTGGTGTCTAGTGCCTCTCTGCCTCAGAATCTCCTTAGAATGGACCTCCACAGGGTGGGTCTTCTGGAATGGCCAAGCGAGGAGCTTGTCAAATCCTCTCCCCCAAATCAGCATGGCTCTTGGGTGCAGGTGCTGCTTGAGGAGATAAGTTATCTCACCAGTAGCCATGAACTTAGCTTTAGGTTTGACCCTTGGCGTGCTAAAGCTAAATTCAAGGGCTGAATGTGATGATGCTCACCTCCTGGTAACAGTGTTCTCTGCCTACTTTTAGACTGGATCAGTCTCAGAGATGGACCTATCACCATATCTGATGACTCAGATGAGGAAGGGGTTCCAATGCTGGTCACTCCAGCTCCTCATCAACATGATGAAGAGGACCTAGATGATGATGTCATCCTGACGGAAGTGAGTTTTCTTAAACTTACCATAATAAGGCATTATTGCAAGTTAGTGATCTGATTCTTCAGCCACTCAGTAGTTGGTATTGGGGCCTTATTGTAGAACAGCTGAGATCACTGCTGCTGCTACACACAGAGCACTCTTCCTTTGCACTTGTTCGATTTCTGAGAACAGCCCCCTTACACCCTGCCCTGATGTCCTCTTAACTTCAGAAGCCATATATTTTGGTCTGTTTTCTGGACATCTCTGTACTGTTGCTCTGTCTGACTATTCATGTACTAGTCCACACTATTGTAATTACTACAACCTTATAATTGTATCTTGATATCAGGTAGTGCTCATCTTCCCTTATTACTCTACATTTTTCAGAATCATCCTGGATATTTTTCTGCTTATATTTTTATATAAATTATTTTTAATATAAATTTTAAGATCAGCTTTTCTATTGGGTTGTCGGAAATGTCATGACATATTTTTTTCTGTTTTTCGTTGCAAAAATGTGTCATGACTTTTCCGACAACCCAATAATTCCAATAGGTAGGTAGATAGACAACAAATCTTATGGTTATACTTGTAGAAGAATTTGTATAATATTGACCTTTTCTAACTAAGTTTTGTTCATTTAAAAGTCTGTAGGTTTTTATATTAATTTCATACTCAATCACCTTACTTTTATTATCTGTAGTAGTTTTTTCAATTGACCCTCACAATTTCTCAAGGGATGGCATCTGATCTATCTGCAAATGATAACTTACACTTTTTTCCTTTCCAGTTTTTATGCTTACTTTTTTTTTTTTTTAAGATTTTTATTGGGAAATTGGGGGATGGGAACAGCGCTGGGGAATTTGGGGGAAGGGGAACAGACAAGTTGCTGTTGTTTTGTTCTTCAGTCTAGTTGTGGAGGACGTTGCTTCTCTGGCCCAAGTTGGCACCATCATTGCGCTCTTCCTGGGTGAGACACATCAGTCGCCGGCTTCTAGACGGCCGCTCACTGTGGCTGCTGGCCGCTCACACTGGCTGCTAGCCGCTCACGCTGGCTGCCGGCCACACACGGTAGCTTATGGCAGCCTACTGCAGCAGGGGCTCAGCCTACGCTGTCGCCGGCAACTCAAGCAGCCCATCCTCAGGTCGAGCTGTGGTTCACCATCTTAGCTGTAGAGGGCAGTGCCACTGGCCCTCATGTGGGAACCGAACCGGTGTCCTGCTGCTCAGAGCTGGTGTTGCAAGCCAGCTCTTAACTAACGAGGCTTGGCTGACCCTGATTTTTTTTATAAAATAAAGAATCCTGTGTATTGTTTTGCAAATTTTCTTAATGACATTTCTTGGAGAGGTTTCCATTTCAAAACATACAATAGAGCGGGTTACCCCTTGGTGAGTGGGGGTGGGGTGGGGTAGAGGAGTTGGAGAGTATTTTGTAGAGCAGATAAAATGATAGTTAACTATTCTGTTAGGGATAAACTTTAGAATGTCTCCACCTCTAATTTTTTTCTTTTTATGTTACAAACGTTGCAGTGAATGTCCTTGTATGTGCCCACTTTAGATGCATAAGGGTTTGCAGAATAGATAGCAAAACGTGATTTGATAGAGCATAAGGATAAACTTTTAAAAATTTTAATGAACAGTGCCAAATTGCTCTTCTAATTTCACCAGTAGTTTTCCCACATCCTTAGCAATGCTTGATATTATTAGCTTTCTAAAAAATTTGCTAGTCTTAAGAGGGGAAATCTTATTTTAATTTGCATTTTGCTGATTACTAATGAGATGTGTGTTCTTTTCATATGTTCAGTGAACATTCCTCATCCCTTTACTATGTTGTCATTTTTTTCCATTATTTCCTCTACAGTTTTTGTTTTAGTGGTCTCAGGTGAAATAATTCAAACTATAATTCAGGCTTCAGTCTATGAACAGCTACTGTGATTTTAGTGTAGTATCAAATTTCAGTGTGACAATAAGTGAAGAATAGGTTTTGTGGACAGGTTTTAGTTTTTTCCTGTCATATCTCAGAAACTCAGTATAAGTACATAAGGAGACACAGACATAGGAAAGAAATTGAATTATTATTAAAATTTCATTTTTTCTTAGACAAGTAAACCTCAAACCTCCCGACCCAATCTCATCAAACCAGCTTCTCAGTGGCAAGATCTCAAAAGTGTGGGAGAAGAAAAGCCTAAAAAGTCTAGCGCAGCCTTTGACTCAAATAAGAACAGCTATTTTTCAGTGTATAACAGCTCATTGTTTAATTCTGGGACACAGGATGATTCTGAGGATGACTACGGTGAATTTCTGGATCTTGGGCCTCCTGGAGTGTCTGAATTCATTAAGCCGAGTGGCCAAACAGAAAGAGAACCCAAGCCTGGACCAAGTCGTAACACAGTAGCAAATGATATTGTCAATCCCAGATCCAGGCCAAAAATCTTTATCTGGGAAGAAAATAGCTTTCTTTATCAAGAAAGTGATCCTTTGGACGCTCAGAACCAGTCATCTGAAGACTCAGAGACAGAGCTTTTATCAAACCTTGGAGATTCGAATGCTATCCTAGATGATCAGACCATCGAAGAAGACTACTGGTTAGACCATCGTTACTTCCAGTCTCTAAACCAACAGCCCCATGAGATAACAAACCAGGTTGTTCCTCAGGAGCGGCAGCCTGAAGGAGAACTGGGCCCCATGTTGTATCAGCATGAACCCCCAGGGCTGGCTTTTCCAAGGCCGGCTTTTCCAAGACCAGAACCCCAGCAGGATGGAATTCCAGGCCGCTCTTCTCCTCAGCCTGCCCATCCTCTAGGAGAGCTTGAAGACCAACAATTAGCAATAGATGAGGATGAGCCAGGTCCAGCTTTTCCACTGCAAGGACCTCAGGAGCCCAACATGGAAAAACTTTGGGGCCAAGAAGCTCCTGAGGTAGATCAAGAAGTCGTTGCACTATTAGTGAAAGAAACAGTAAGTTTTATCTTATTTAAGTAAATGATTATAGACATTAAATATACTGAGTTTTCATTTATTGCAAAAACATTGTGCATGTGGACTTCATTTTCCTAAGGGGTTTTTAGCTAGATCTATAGACCAGAAGATAAACTCTGAAAACAGCCCTGGTGCTGCCATAAGAGCAACCCTCCCCGTTTTTAAAAAGGCATTGAATTAACTCCAAAGTCAAACCTTTAAAGCAGGGTTATGAGGTTACCTAGAGCTGCACTGTCCAGCTGCACGTGGCCATTTAAGTGTAAATGTCTCACAGTTAACAAAATTTTTGGTTCCATTTCCAGTGGCACCAGTCACATTTGAAGTGCTCATAGCCACATGGGGCTGAACAGCTGCCATATTGGAAAGCACAAAATAGATTTCCATTGCTGGACGAATTCTGTTGGATAGCACTGATTAGATCTAATAGAAAGTAGTGCAGGGCGCTATGTCCTGGCTGGGCTGCCATTTGCCTTTGAATGGTCTCTTAACCTTTCTTTTCCCAGGTGTTTCCACCTGGCCCACTATGCCGTGTGCTTCTGGAGGGTGAGCTAGTGAATGCTGTATTTGTCTTTTGACTCCCTTTGCCTAGGCAGAGATGTTCAATATTTATTGAAAGAATGAAGAATGGACGTGCAAAATGAGGGCAGAGGACCAGATGATCTCTAGGGACCTTTCTAGAGTTCATATTTTATGTAGACAGGTAAATCTGGGCACCTCGTGTGGAATTTTAAGCCAGACACAAACCCGCTCTTTTATAATCCTTTTCTAGTCTGTAGTCATTTTGTATCCTTTTTGCTATCTGGTTTTTATTGCAATTTGAAGCCATTTTAGTGGATGAAATATAAATAATTTTTTATTCCTTTGCAGGAAGCAAGATTTCCAGATGTAGCACATGGATATATTGAGGAAATAATTCATTTGAAGAATTATTTTGATTTGAATGTGTAAGTATACCAGCGTGTCTTTTTTCTTTTTTTATTGTGGTAAAATATACATAACTTAAAAATTTACCATTTTAACCATTTTTAAGTGCACAGTTGCATTAAGTACATTCACATTTTTGCACAACCATCGCCACCATCCATCTCCAGAATTTTTTCACCTTCCCACACTGAAACTCTCTCTCTATTAAACACTAAGTCCCCATTCTTGTCTACTTTCCCCCAGCCCCTGGCACCTATCATTCTACTTTCTGTCTCTTTGAATTTGACTACTCTGGCAACCTCGTATAAGTGGAATCACTCAGTATTTGTCCTTTTGTGACTGGCTTATTCATTAAGCATGAAGTCTTTTTTAATGGCTCTGTTAGAAGATCCTGTTAGTCATATACAGACTTTTTTCTTGGATGTTATAGAATACTGCATGTTTAGTTAATTCTAAGCATTGATAACTACCTACGATTTCAGTCAGGATGTCAAAAAGACATTTTCTTCTCTATATTTGTAACAGAAAGTGTCTTGCAACCAGTCTGCCTATTTGCCTGGAGAAGGGTATGGAATGTTCTTAGTTTTTATTATAAAAATGATAAGTACATTTTTTAAAAAATAAAAGTGTCCTAAAGAATACAAAATGAAAAATAAGTCTCTTTCCTCTTACACTCTCCCCCTTCTTTTAGTCTGCAGGGGTGAAACAGCTGTCAATTTGTAAAGAACAGTAGAGTGTTGAAATTAACCCGTTTTCAACCAATTAATACAGATTATTTTAATTAAACAAAAGAGGTAGTATACTAAACCTCTGTCCTCCAAGATTATATCCTGTACTGCAGTGCTCAGCTCAGGGTGTGAGAGGGAGTGGTTCCCTGCCATGACCAAGAGGGAAGGGCCGCCTTTCCCAGGCCAGCAGCTCAGAGAGGTATTTTTTTCTAATTCATACAAACACACTGTTGGTGCCAGCAGCAGCCTTGTTTACACCCCTCTGTCCAGAGGCAGCCTGTTACCAGTTTTTAAACCAGGATTCAGTCAAGGTTTCATAATGTATTTATCTTTAGTGTCTTAATCTAGAACAAACTTTTAAAAAATGTCACTGATTGTTTCTCCCCCAGTATTTTAAAACATAAAAAGTTGAAAGGCTGTACAATGAACATCCATATAACCACCACCTAGATTATTATCTGGCATTCTGCTGTAAGGAAGAGTTTGCCTTTTTAGTTCCTTTTTTTTACTCACTATGGACATAAAGGTTTTGTGTAAGTAATGTTTTACAATCAGTTACAATTGTTTTTCTTTTTGTTACTCAATTATCGTAAATTTGACTACTAGGAGCCTCTTAAGATGACACATGCATCTTTTTGTTATGACCCCATTAGTCTTTGTGCACGTCCTTGCTTTCTAATATACCAGCTTGCCCTAGGCTTACCTTGAACTTCTCTGCCTCAGACCTGGAATCTGTCATTTCTCCAAGAAACCCAAGTTTCTTAGAATGAGGATTGGTGTTTATAAACTAACATCTCGGGACTTGACGTGCTCATCATCACCACTAGCATGTCACCACTCTAGGTCTTTTCAAGAGACAGACCAAAGAAATGTGGTTTTCTTTAATCATGACTATATTTATGATTTCCTATCAAATTTAACATTAAGGTGTTTTTCTTCCATCTTTCTAAAGTTCACATTTGTGTATATTTTCTTTCACTAAAAACTTAATTTATAATAACATTAATATATTTATTTTCTTTATCCTACAATATACATAAAATAATTTTTTAATTATAGTTCCAGTGTTACTAATAATGACTGAGTAAAGTGAATAATGTTTATGGTTACTTTTGCATGTAATGTATATCTCACTGAGGCAATATAGTTAGAATATAGACTACAGCAGGCCATAGATTGATAATGTTTGTCAGTTCTGGAAATTTTGTAGCCATTATCTCATCAAGTAAATCCCTTTGTCCCGTTCTGTTTCTCGCCCTGTACCACTTCTCTTCTCCCCATCCTCCATGGCTCTCAACCCCATCTCTTTGTCTCGGAGACACATTCCGGATGATTTCTTCAAAGCTATTCCAGCTCACTGTCTTTTCAGTGGGGTGTAATCTGCTGTTAAACCCATCCACTATGTTTTTAATTTCAGTTTCTATATTTTTTTATTTCTAGTAATTTTATTTTTTAATTCTCTTGGTCATTTTTCTAGTGTTTTATTTTTTGCCTGTATTTTTAATCTGTTTAGTTCTTTAAACACTGTAAACAATAAAGATAGCTTTTTTGTGTTCTGCATGTGATCATTCCAACATGTGAAGTTCTTGTGAAGCTCATTGTCTTGTTTCTGCTGGTTTTCAGAGTGTCCTGTTTCCTTGTGTATTTTGTAAATTTTGACTGAGCTCATTTCTTGAGGTCTTGATAGAAACGGCTCCTTCAGGGAGAATTTGCTTTTACTTGTCGTGTGCCTAGGGGCAGTGTCAGTCTAATATCACTTTAGATTATTGTCTGGACCACCAAGATAGCAAGAATTCAGTCCTGGGTGAGGACTGAGATAGTCTTGAGTCTCATACATGTCTTTTTTCCTAGAGATTCATTGACTCTGCCTTTTTTTGCATCATTCAGAAGCAAATACTCATTCTTAAAGACATAAAAATTCTTTTGAAATCCAAAAGAAAAGGAATGTATAGTAATTGTATTGAATCTTTTCAAACCTACAGTCTAATTTTCTGGCACTACTTTCCTTTCATCCCTGGGCTTTTGGGACTAAGTTGTTAATTCCCATAGCTAAGCTCAGTGTTGTTAATGTAGAGCTCAAAGGAGGCTCAAAGCAGAGTTGTGCAGGCTGGGTTTTTGTGTAGCTGACCCTCAGTCACTTTATGTACAGTGTTAACATCACTGTTAGATGTAACTGGCTGATCAGATGAGCACAAGGGGCCTGTTCACCAGAGAACCTCCTCTAATGGTAATCCACTCTTTGGCTGGTTCGCTAAGTCTTTTCACTCACTTAAATTGGATCCAGACAGCAGTAACTGTCTAAGGAGAAAAGCTTGGGATGCCAGCCTGGCTTACTTAGCAGGAATGCTTTCTCGAGACCCTTTAGCTTGTCAGGTCAGATCAGGCATGAAATAATAGGAATAGGTGGACAGATCTGAGTTCTGACAAGCCCCCTCCCCGCCACTGCCTTTGCCCCAGGCTGGAAATACTAATGTATTGGGTGTAGCTTATTTCTGTAGAAGGGAAACTTTGTCCTCAATTATCTGTGCTACTGAATGGCCTTTAACCTCCAGGAAGTTCTGTTGGTAAGGGTAGAGAAGATATTACATAGAAATGAATTTTGACAGTTCAAAGTGAGCGCCTCTGATTTCTGCCATGTGGAATGCCACATCTTGTAGCATTTCTATATGTGAAGTTCTTCATAGTGTTGAAAATATGAAATGAATTGTTAAGAGAACCCCTAAAATTAGGGTTTCTTTCCCACGGGGTTTTTCCCCACAAATTATACCTACTATTCTCTCTATATCATATACTGTGCTTCTGTATTATGTACTTCAGAAAATATGTAAAAATGGAAAACTTTGAAGAATGAGATTTATAGAAATAGGAGTTTTCATACTTTCCTCCAACACCCTAGCAGGTCGTCATCTGTGTCCACCCCTCCGTGGGCACCACTGGCTTCACTAATGGGTGGCCATTTTAGCAAAGATTCTTTCTCATTTGAGCTTTTTATCTTTTCCCAAATTTCTGGTATCTGGTAGATGTTGGCTTGTGGTAGCCACACTGTCTAGAACATTACAGACAGGCAAGTTTGAAATGGAGGGGCGAAGGGGCTATTCCACGTCTGGTTTGTAGTACATCCAGGTGTGTGTGTGTGTGTGAAAGAGTTTGGAACGCTAGGCCTTTCTCCCTGATACTGGATTCGTAGTGGTGGCTAATTCCCAGGTCAGCCTTCAAAGATCTGTATAACTACAGTGCTCATCATTTTGTCCTGGAACAAAGAACTACCATCAGTGACAGTGGTTTTAAAGGGAGATGTGCTCAGAATTCTTGTCTCCCCTTGCTACAACTATATAACATCAGAAGAGGGGTTTATTCCCTCTCCGGGCTCCTGGCATTGCATTCCAGTAGACAGGGCATGGTGATAAGGGAGAGGAGAGCTTAGAGTGAAGAAGTACTTGGGGCTCCTGGAAGTGATGGTGAAGAAAAAGGTGTTAAGGTATGCTGATGGGTCCTGGAGCAGGATGAGGAGGGGGCTTTGCAGTCGGACCAGTGCTAAGGGTCCTTAGGGGCTTGCAGAAGAAGTGTGCTTCCCCATTTTTTGGTCCCCAAACACGTGGGTGAGGAGGAGCAGGAGGTGAGCATTTTCCTCCAATCTCTTCCTGTTGGACCTGTCTTACTATTGGAGGCTCTACTACCATTGACACTGGACAGGAGGAAGGGAGTCAAGTGAGAGGCATGGGTAGGGCGCCTACAAGGGGGTGGAGTCATCCTGCAAATCTGCAGGAAGGAAGGATGGGGAGAGGGAAGCACCAGTGACCCTGTGAGTGGAGGAACTTTCTTGGCACTGAAGTGACGGGCTGCACGCCACCCAGGCTGACCGCGCACTTTGGAGTCATCCGAGAGCACAGTTTGTTGCCTGTTTTGGTTGTGATAGGCTAAAGAGCCTTGCTAGTTACCATTTGTTAAAACGGGGGGTGATAACAGCTGTGTGTGTTATCTTAACTCTCTATATCCTTACTTTTCCACTATTACATCATAGTGATAAAGAGAAAGGCTATGGGTTTGGTATGAGGCACAAACATGGTCTGTTCTTTCAGCCTTGCAGTTGGCTAATAAACTGAGTGTCACTCAGATCACTCATAGGGATTTATGTAACCATAGGGTTACAAAGTATTAATTAATTCACAGGTCTTTTACATTCCATTTATTAACTCAGCAAATAATTTTAATTGTGAATGTGAATGCATACTTTTTCCCACCCCTTATTTGTTATGTAGTCTTCTGACAAACATATTCATACTTTACATCTAAATTTCTCTTAATTCCGTTTGGTTCAATCAATAAGAATTTCAGTGACCTCATTACACTGACGCCCAACTAATAGAAAAACTTTGGGGGTTTGCATTCATCATTATGTTTGTTGCTTTTTAAACTAGCAAGCAAAAAAGAAATTCAGCGTAATTGTGTTTTGTCTGTTTTATTTTTTCTGATCTGCAAACATTTTAATTCCTTGATAGGCCAATTGTAATGTGTAACTAGGGACTTAATTTTTCAAACATTGTGTTTGAATCAATGGGCAGGTGTGGGATTTAGAAACAGTATGAAAGTACTATCATTTATTTTTGCAGACTTTGTAATTTTCTTCTGGAAAATCCAGATTATCCAAAGAGAGAAGATCGAGTCGTTATCAACCCCAGTAGCAGCCTGCTTGCCAGCCAAGATGAGACAAAGGCAAGTGTCGTGCTCTTTTTTGCAGTCTCTACCTAGAAGTGCTATGCCTTTCTCATCATCATTATGGGAAGAAAGTGCTTTGTCAGGACACATTTTAAAAGACTAGCCAGGAAAATAGGATTTCAGAATACATTTATACTTCAGTGGATTTCCCAGCCTGGGCCACTTTGAATTCTGCATTTACCTGCTTTCATTGTAACTCTCTCTTCCCATTCCCATAAAACACTAAACAAACTCCATTTCTTTAATCCTATAAAGCAAGTTTCTAAAATGAAACAAGAATTGGCCAGGATTCTTTGTATCGTTTCAGTTATTTGGGTTTTTTTAATATTTTATCTTGAAAATTTTAAACCATACAGTAAAGTCAGAAGATTTTTACATTGATCATTTCTGTACCCAGGAGAAGTACTGTTAAAAGTTAACATTTTACTATAGCCACATTGTCGCATATCCAGCCCTCTGTCCATCAGCACCTCACTCTTCTTTTTTATTTCATTATAATGCATTTCAACATAAATCACAAAACCATCAATACACTGCCCCAAACATCAGCATCCGATCATTGCCTTGAGCTCAGTATCTGTTCATAGTTTTGATGTAAGTTTTATATGCAATGCATACACCTGTGAAAGCAAATCCTGGATCAAGATAGAAACAATTTTATTTTTTAAACCTTGATTATTGTCTTCATTTGTGATCCAAACTAACATTTAGTGTAAGTGAAGTATAGTTCAGAACTGCTTCATTGGTATCTATTCCTTGATCCTTCTGCTCCCCACAGATTCTTTTGACTCTTTTATATATTCTGTAGCCAAAAAAAAAAAAAGAATTTTTCTAAACATTTTGTGGAAAGAAGGTGGCTGAGAGATTGGGTTCAAGTCCACAGCTATACTTTTCTACTAGTTCAGGGGTTGGCAAACTTTTGAGATGGAAGAGCCAATCCTGTCTCTCACAACAATTTAAAAATTATTTGAGAGCCATAAAACAAATGAAATCATCATTATGTGAATAATATCCTTTAAAAATTTTATAGGGCCGGCCAAGTGGCTCAGTTGATTAAGAGCTCACTCAAGAGTTTGAGCTCTGAGCAACAGTGGTTCGAGTCCAGCCCGAGCTGAGCAGCCGCTGAGCTGCCAACAGGTAGCAGGATGGCT